ATTCCCAGGTGATTCTAATGTGCAGCCAAGGTTGAGAACCACTGCTCTAAGTGCTTGGACGTTAGAGGCTCCCTTGTTATCCTGCGGGGGACTAATTGCATTCTTCATATCTTAGGTGAGGCAATGGCCAAGAATGACATTTTTTTTTTTAAGGAATGGCTTCCATTCTTGAATGAGGGAGGAAGCAGAAAGGGTGGATTTATTGGCCAAGAAAAATTCAGTGAGCCACTAAGCCCAGGTCTTCTGTAAAGGTTCCACGACTGAACTGCCCACTGCTGCTCTAATAGGGAGCAGAAGAGATTAAAGATCACTCCCACTTCCAATTATGAGGTAAGATCTCAGGTAACTTCTTCAGCAAACTGTATTAGTTCTGCTTGTCCAGGCCACAGAACCAAGTATTCTCAATAAGTAGAATCTTGTTTTAAAGCTGTTTGATAACAGCCTGACCTGCGTGGCTCAGGAGTTGAGTGTCGACCTATGAACCAGGAGGTCAGGGTTCGATTCCCATTCAGGGCACATGCCCGGGTTTTGGGCTCAATCCCCAGTAGGGGGCGTGCAGAAGGCAGCCAATCAATGATTCTCTCTCATCATTGATGTTTCTATCTCCCTCTCCCACTCTCTCTGAAATCAAGAAAAATAGACTAAAAAATAAAGCTATTTGATAATAAATCAGGTAACAAATAAGGACTGTATTCATAAGGACTGTATTCATAATGGTTATGTTATTAAGAATACTATACTATGTGCCAAGCACTGTGTTAGGTCCTGGGAATATCAATAGAAAGGTACAAGGCCCTAGTCCTTAAGAGGTTGACATTCTAATTGAGAGGACAAATGTAACAGATAAAACAAGTTCTATAACCAGAGTGTGTATGAGGCAGAGTGGGACTGGCCACCACTACCTGAGAAGTGATCAGAAAAGGAGGTGACCCTGGAAACAAGAAGACGTGTTTTATCTGATATTGAGAGCAGCCTGAGCCAGATGAGCCACTGATTAGGAATGGCAGCCACTGGGTATGTGGGTTGAGGCCTGGAGGGCTCTGTGGGTCATGCTGAAAAGTATGGGCTTTATCCTGCAGACAAAGAAAATTGGACATTTTCCATAGACAAGTCTTCAGGTAATGTGTATCTAATTATTTCCAAATTCCCCTCCCAGAAGGAAAGATTTTATTTCACTTACTCAATAATTACATTGAATACCTATTATGGAGCAGTTATTAATGGCTAAATTTATTGCTTTGCTATAAGCCACATATGGACTACTTTATAGCAAAATGTCTATAATGTATATTCTGATTTCTAGTGATTTTTAAATACAATTTAATGGTTTAAACTTACTTAAAAGTTAATATTTGCTAAGGTATTTCCCAATTCCTATCAACTTTGCTGCTAGCAGAGATGGGGACTTTGCCAGACTCGTGTTCTCCAGTAGAAGTATTCAGGGATGATTCCTCCCAGAGTCCAAGGCAAACCTCTTGTGTATCTGTGGGACCAGAAGGATTCTTGACCAGAGCCACCACGTAGTGCTGACGCCAAGGGCCAACTTTCACTCCTTCAGGTGTCACCTTGTCACCCAAGTGTCCCTTAACAGACCTCTTTCACTACTGTCCCTGGCAGTTGATTTTCCTTAAGCTGCTTAAAAAAAAAAAAATTACACGTATATCCTTCTACCATACCCCATAATTTACTAACTCATGTTTGTTGTTTTTTATCCGTTTCCCCTACTAGAATGTAAGTCCCTTTAAAAGTAGGGATCTTTGTGTGTGCTGTTCACTGGTGTATCTCAACCACCTAGAACAGTGCCTTATATAAGACTTAGATTCAAGGGTCAGTATCTGGGTAAGTAGAAAATAACCTTGAAGACTTCTACACTTGTTTTCATTGACCATAATTTGCCACTAAACAGAGGTGAGTTAGTAAGTCAATGAAACTCTTATTGAACTTGTAGAGCAAAGCTGTTTATACCTGTTTGTGTGTCTTTAGTGTTGAGAGTAAAGGCCATGGTACCCTTTGACGGTGAATCTTAGCAGCTGTTAGGAGTAAAGGTCATGGAACAATAGCAGAGGTGGGATGCAGAGAACTATAAAATGACAATAACAGATGATGTTCTTTTCAACAGATACAAGAGTTTGGTCACTGGGACCCGAGCGAGAAGAGTCATTGCTGTCCTCTGGGTGCTCGCCTTTGGCATTGGACTGACCCCTTTCCTGGGCTGGAACAGTAAAGACAGTGCCACCAACTGCACAGAGCCCTGGGGTGGAACCATGAATGAAAGCTGCTGCCTTGTGAAGTGTCTTTTTGAGAATGTGGTCCCCATGAGCTACATGGTGTATTTCAACTTCTTTGGGTGTGTCCTGCCCCCACTGCTCATAATGCTAGTGATCTACATCAAGATCTTCATGGTGGCCTGCAGGCAGCTTCAGCGCACCGAGCTGATGGACCACTCAAGGACCATCCTCCAGCGAGAGATCCACGCCGCTAAGTCCCTGGCCATGATCGTGGGGATTTTTGCTGTGTGCTGGCTACCAGTGCATGCCATCAACTGTGTCACCCTTTTTCATCCAGTTCAGGCTAAGGAGAAGCCCAAGTGGGCAATGAATATGGCTATTCTCCTGTCACATGCCAACTCAGTTGTCAATCCCATCGTTTATGCCTACAGGAACCGAGACTTCCGCTATACTTTTCACAAACTCATCTCCAGGTATGTTCTCTGCCAGACAGATGTCTTCAAGAGTGGGAATGGGCAGGCGGGGGCACAGCCTGCTCTCGACATGGGCCTATGACCTGGATGGATTCTGTCCTTTTCAAAAGGCACAAATCCACAATAAACAGAGGGACAGGACATGATTGGATGATCCTCACGTGAAAGACAGTCATGCCTCACAAGCATATGGGTTGCCTCTTTTGAGCATCTCCCTGGAGTTACCACATATCTAACTAATATGTACATGATATTAGTAGGTTCCAAGGGTTGACAAATACATATGGTCCTGTCTGGATGCTCTCACTGTGTGGATGATGCTGACAACTTGAATGGATTGTAAAATAATGTTTTGTTTTTTTTAAAGTCTGCCTTTTTTATGGTAGAAAATGAATAAAACTATTTTTCTGTGAAACACTGTGAATTATTATAATACAAATATTTTTTAAACTTAGAGGCAATGGAAAAATAAAAGTTGGACATACTAAAAGTGTATTCTCATTTCTAGGAAGGAGACCAGGAAAATTAAAAGTATAATTCTTTGATCAAGAAACTACTATATTAATTTAGGGAAATGACACTCCTGTAAGTTCTTAAGTAGAACATCATCAGATAACATTTTGATAGCATTCTTTTCCATATATAGCAAACAACCCTAGAGAAAGAAACTAAAGAAGGGATCCTTCTTCTATCAGATTCCCTTTCCCCCTCCTAGAACTAGTAGTGAATTTTACTTCTCTACCAACTTCAAGCTTTGCCAACTTGCTGGATCTCAAAGTGTGAAATTTTTACTAAGTAAAATTATACAATTGTGTATTATATTGGGTGAAATAAAAATAAAACTTAAAGAAATCAAGCTTAGGGTGCTGCACTGGCTTGTCATACAGAGCTGCATGTCCCTTCTACTCTTTATCCTAAAGTCTGCTTAAAAATATAAGCTTATACCCACTTGAAGTTTCCCAAGTAGCAGAAAAATCTTCATAGTTTATTTGCCACACCTCATCGTAACAAAAGGCTCTGCCCACCACAGAACACTGCAATATTGTGGCCTTCTCACACAGCATTCACTCACTAGCACCTCACGCTTTGGGAGCACAGGGTTGAGGTTTCCTAGGCTGTAAGATCTTTTTCATCTGTTTGTTCACCGCGTCAGCTGCTTCTGCAATATCCCTGTAAAGACAACGCAGGTTTATAAGCCCTCACACAGCACATTCCTGTCCTCGGATCCCATTCTGGCGGTGGACAGACAGCTGTGCCTGTAAAGTGCTGCATCTGTCTCGTTTCCACCATCATAACTCGTCTGCACTCTCCTGGGGGTCCAAACAGCCCCATTTCCTCCCTCCTAGCACTCTTCTTGGTCTCTCTTTTGCCTTTTCTTCTTCAGACTAGAAATCCATAGTAGTTTCCTCTGCTTCCTTCAGCACATGAATTTTAGTCCCTTCCTTCATCTGGCTTGTTATAAAGCTCAGAAATGCATGTAGCACAAAACCAGTACTTCCGTTGGTCTAGATACTACCATTCTAACAATACAGCCTACTGGAGCTATTTTGGCACCAGCACCACAGGTATCTGAAGCTCCTGAAACCAGAACCCCAGTAAATCTGTTTATACTTGGCTGCTGTTTGGCCACATCTCTGCTCTGATCTTTCATTGCTGCAGAATAATTTTCTGAACCCAAGGTAAAGAATTAACACTTACTCATCTGCATTTCATCCTACTCAATTTTGTCTTGCATTTCAACCTCTTAAAATTACTAGTACCTCAGTTAATAATCTAATTGTGGACAAGACATGGTATTAGGCTTTATTTAAGTCCAAAATGCTTGATTCCATCTAGGAAATTTTTTAGCCATGGGGCTTAGAAACTGGTTCAGATTTTCATGAGACTTGTACAGGGCTTCAAACCATACACACATCCTGAGTTCCAACCACAGTGCCTCCTATAGTCCATAAGAAAAAAGGGACAGTAACAACTTTCTGGATCTATTTCATCTCTCTTCCCTATAAGCCATAGGTTAAATGGACTTTTGTTGCTACTTCTATTTCGAAAGATGATAGTCTATACCTTTTATGCTTCTTGATTCTTCTTCATCAATAATATGTCCGTCAATTGCTTATCCGAAACACTTAGCTGCTGACAGGTCCCCATAATCTGACTAAGATAAACTGCTAAGAGGTGCTTGCACTGGAATATAAAACACACAGACGGTTAGAAACTGCGACAGCCAGGCTAACCAAGGCCTCTCACTACCATTACAGTAGCCGGAAAGGAGCGGGGCACAGACTATGGGCCTTTAACGCACTGCTTAGAAACTGCAGACACAGCTGCGACAGATGTATTCTTTCTAGAAGTCAGAGGGCACAAAGGAAGCTTTACTTAGCCTGCTGTGTGGGAAACAGGCTGGCACAGGTATATAACCACAACAGGCTCCTCATCTGAGTCCTAAGTCATATTTCTTTCTTCCTTACCTTCAGAAAGCTGCTAATAGCAATGAATAGCCTTCCTGAAGCAGTGTTATTAGGTGCTTCCCATGATCTCATTTACATCTGACAGCTCCTTCCTGAGAACAGCTCTTGTCCCCATTTTAACCATGTGCTCAGAATCTAGTCTGCTTCTTTAACCTGTTACACTTCTGGGGGATGGGGGCGCGGAGGGGTAAAGGTGGGCTGGCAGAACCCTCACATACACCAGCCTGTACACAGCTCTGGAGAGATGATCTATGTTGGACCTTGTATCACTGAACCCACAACGCGGCTTTAGATATTGAAAGGGCCTGGTGTAATCATGTCACTTAACAGTGAAATAAGCTTATGGCACATCAGCTATGAATGTAGCCACTCGTACAATGGGATACCCAATCTGCTACCGAGTTCCCAAGATGTTTAATGAAGTTAAGAGTGTAAAACAAAGGGTAAGAATGGGATGGATGCTATAATTTTCTTCTTTGGCAAGACTTAAAAAATAGCTACCTACTCTCAGGTGAGTGGTGCTTTCTCCTTGGAGTAGAGTTGTATGTCTTTTCCTTGCTCGAGGCTCTGGACTCCTGTGAAATAGGCAAAGGCACCACTGTGCTCTCCTGCCTCAGGTGGAAGTGCCAGGCTGTTTTATGGGCAGTGGGAAGAAACACCTCATGGCTGGAGCTGGGGACATGGAAAGTTGCCAACTTGGTTCCAGTTTGGTTCATACATTTACTGGGTTACCTCATCCCCCAGTGCCAACTTTTCAGTGCCAACCCATTCAGGACTATCTTGTCCTCCCAAACGCTTAGTCCATGACCCTTTCAGTAATAAACTGGGGTTGATGTATTTCTAAAAATGACAGCATTTTGGGAGGTTATACCCAAGAGAGATTACTAACTGAAGTCAAAGATAATAAATTGTTTCAACATGTAGTAAAATTCCCACGTTGTACAACTTTTAAGCCATGAAGTAAGGACTACCAATTTCTTCCCTAATTCAATGGCAGTGGGAAGAGACTGCGCCATCCTCACCAGCAGGCTGTCACTCTTCCGGAGCACGGAGAAGGCAAATGCAGGACATGAACAGTAATGACAAGAAGCCAAACATGTGTATGTTTTACCAGAACTTCCAAGCACCTAGAAAGAAAAGGACAGATGGGACCAAACTTCAAAAGCTGTGCTGGAAAATTGCTTCCTTCCCTTGACTTTATTTGATGACTCAGAGTTACTCTGCAAATTGCACTGGGAAGAACTGCAGTTACGTTTTGCAAAAAAAAAAGTGTAATCTCAATTTCCCTGTGTACAGACTCTTCCTCCTCAGAGCTCTCCCCTTGACGACTTTATGCAATGAAACTGAAGAGTTGTAGGCTAGGTGAACCATCTACACAAACCACTTTGTTCCTCATGTAGTGATTCAGAGGGCCAACTCTAGGGGATGACTATAAGGGGGGGGGGGGCGGGCGCTCACTCATCTACCTTTTATTGTGGTGTTTCTTATTTAACCTATGGTATTTCACATCATGTTTGCGAATTTCTAAAGCTTCTACCACAACCTTAAGAGAGTATGATAAGCCCTGGCTGTTGTGGCTCTCTGGATAGAGCATCGACCTGCAGACTGAAGGGTCCCGGGTTCGATTCCAGTTAAGGGCAATGCCCGGGTTGCGGGCTCAATCCCCAGTATGGGGCGTGCAGGAGGCAGCTGATCCATGATTCTTGCTCACCTGATGTTTCTCTCTCTCTCCCTCTCCCTTCCTCTCTGAAATCAATAAAAAAATATTTTTTTTAAAAAGAGAGTATGATAATTATTGGGTCTCCAAAGTATTACCAATGAATAAAACATTAGATCTCTTCAGCCTTAGTTATCGCCTGTTACCTCTTCTCTCTAGATATAAAATTCAGCAGAAGCCCCTGGAATCCCACATTGACTGGACTGGTCCACTATCAGAATACTCTGGATTATGCTGAATCAAAGTAGTGAGGCAAAAAGATTTCAGAAAGAAGCGGGAAAAGGTTTTTGAAAAGCATTGGAGAGCAGAGAAAATAAAGAACTTTGCAAGAGGGATGACTAGGCTGCTCAGGATGTAGGTCTCTGAAAGAGGCAAGCCCGGACCGTCCGGCAGGATGGAAGGGAAGCAGAGAATGTGAAGGGTGGGGAGAGGCCCTGTCCAAAACAAACAGCCTTGTGGCAATCAAGAGACAAAAAAGGAGACGCACAGGGAAATATGATGCATCTGTGACCAACGTCCTGAAGAAGCCACTTGTGTAATTAAGTCCATCACAAACAGCCCAAACAAAAATGTGGAGCGGCTGCATCCCTGCAGTGACTTTCCAAACTGGAAATGTAAAATCAGTATCCCAGGGAAGTAGAAACATCCTGAGGGTTATTTCACCAGGAACTGCCACTTAGGAATCTGCCACAGGGCTTTAAAATTAGGCTGAGGCTCTAGATAGCAATCTAAATGAAAAGGCCAGGACGTTTTTATTTTGAAAAAGAATGCCAGCCCTCCTAGGATTCTTTCCTCTTTCTCCCCCACGAAAAATAACACAACAGGTAAGGCTTCAGCCAAAGAACAGCAGTGTTCAGGGGCTGTGCTCTGTCTGATGCCCACTGACTCAGTGAGGCCATGTCACTGTGAGTTTCTGAGCAAAGCAGCACAATTCCTTAGGGACTGCGAGATTGGCCAGAACTGTCAAGGACTGGATAAGATACCCACTATACCCATTAAAGAGTTCAGCCTCAGTGACAAATCAGGTCCTTTCCCGTGAGGCACCGAGACATTTTTAACGTATCACCTACATCACTGAGTATCAGTGGAGGAATTTCCCTAGTGTATCTTGGAAAACTTAATATATTCATTTATTTCAGAGAGGAAGGGAGAGGGAGATAGAAACATCAATGATGAGAATCATTGATCGGCTGCCTCCTGCACGCCCCTCACTAAGGATTGAGCCCACGA